CTGCGTATAAATTAGCTCACTTGTTTTTAAATTAGAGGAATAATATACTCGGTAACTCGAATTAGATAAAGTTAAATTTATGCGCGTGTCTGTCAAAATATATCTAGGACAATAGTTCTAAAATTTCAGGAAATTACATCCCGGAATTGCGCTCGTTCATCGTTCTAAAACTCGAAATGCAAGCTTAAATGCGGCCTCAATGTATTTATGTAAATGCGATACAGAACGCATCTCGTGTCTCTCGCAAAGCGATGTTACGGCTTGCGTCAGAAGAGCGACAACGACAGGTGGATAGAAGCCGCGGGGGCAATGAAAATAGAAATGAACCTTTAACGCGCGCGTTCTGCGCCCACGCGTTTCATCTCTCCGAAAAGAAATGATCGTGTACCTTATTCCCGCCGACGACGCGCGAGACGGAAATGCTCCTCTTCACCGAAGTAGTACTCGACCGTTTGAATCGACCGCTTCACAAAGGCCGTGAGTCAACGTTTTTACGAATGAGTCAGAAACAGTAAATTTTTTTCTTAAGATAGCATTTAGTACCGCATAAAAGATATGTAGCTTGCAACGTGACAATTTATACTTTAGCAGTGTCTTATGTTTCCTGTGATACATCCATCTCTGAATGCGTATAAGTCAATTTGCAGAGGAACTTGATCGGATGAAGCCGAAAAAAAGCTAAATATCCAAGAATTAAAAATACTGACGTACTGTTTAAACATTAATAAAAACATATATAAAAGGCCAAAAAGATCAATTTTTCTAATATTCTACAAAAAAAATTCCTAGAAATCATTGATTTTTCATACTGCTAGAGTAGACTAGACTCTTATTAACTCAATCTCGATCTACGGTACGTGTACAACGAACGAGTAACAGCGGGAGCGGAAGTGGCGAGTGAGAGCATAAATAAGCGTGGATCTTCAACACGGTCCAACGCGGTATAGTCCTAACGCGTAAATCGCGTTAGAATCCTCTCGATAGAGCCCTCGAGCGAGCGGTGGCGGGTAGCGAGAAGCTGACACGAGGGACAGGTGGTGCTAAATAAAGACTGGACCGTCGCCAGCGCGGCTCCAAGATGGCCGGCCGAGACGTCGTCGTCGTCGTCGTCGTCGTCGTTCGCTTACGACACGGATTTATCAGAACCGTTTTCTGACGTCTACCGCGACGTCCGCGGTACCGGTGTTGGATTTCACTTCTCCACCTACATTTAGCTAATTCCAAAACGCCCGCCGCGCTTTACGCATCTACGCCTATGCGTGACGCCACGCCAACGACACCGACATGACTTTCGTCAATAACGCATTCGCTAAAGGCGAATTATTCGCCTTTAATTAATTAATTGACGGTTTGTTTACTCGAGACGGAAAAATTTTCACCATTGTTCCACATTGCATTAGTGAACTGTCCCGCATTGCGTTCTGCAGATGTGACGTCGATAAATTCGATTAAATTAGATTGCATCAATGAGGATGATGTTATTTGAAACATTATAAAACTGTTTAAAAATTTAATCCATAAAAATTTGTATTATTTCTTTCTTTTTTTAACGATAAATGGGCTCGAAATCTTCTTTCACTATGATATTTCTGTTTATCGGAATTTTCTTACGTTATATAAACGTGGCAACAAATAGAATTAATTAATAGAGCTAAGATTAATTAATCTAATCGTAAAAATTATGAAAAATTTGGGTCCACAACGTCAACCGTGCGAGAATCGATTGGTCCCTTTGCATGGGGCCCCGTTGGATCGCACAAAAAACGAAACCCCCCCTCGCGCATGACGCACTTACATATTCACGCTTCTTTCACACGATTACGACACATTTCTCCGCGAGACGAGAAAAAAGTTAAGACGTCTCCCGCGGTCCTTCATTAATGAACGAGAGAAAAAAAGAACGGGTCTCTCGGATTACTTCGTAAAAAAAAGGAAGGACGCCACTGTTCGAAGAGCGATAAAAAATCAAACTGTAAGAAGCGTTTCGTTAGGATTGTACTTCTTCCCACAGTCGCGGAAACAACCGTAGATAATCTTGGAAAGACGTCACGCAATTGTTCGCAATAATAACGCCAACTTAGAGTTGGTCATGCTGCAAACTAATAATTACGCGATAAACACTCGAGAAAAATTAAAGAAAAAAAAAAGAACATCAACGGCATCCTATTTCGTTATTACACGACAGAGAGCTATACCGTGTTATTTGAAAGTCCAAAAATCACCCACGTACAACACCAAAAAATACAACACCAATAGCGACACCAAGTGTAGTGTAAGCCTTTACCACACACACAAGGTTATTAATATATTATATATTATATATAGTGGTTAGCGGATCCTATACAAGTCTCGGGGCATCCGTATTTCCATGAAAGAAGACACTTCGATCGACCTTATCGCATTCCAAGGAAGGAGTATATCTGGCGTTCCTTCCATTCCGACCGATGAACTGTATGTCGATTTTTCGCAAAAGATTAATTTTTTTTTTTCGTACAGTTCGAGTTCCCGCGAATTTTCCGCTCGATTGAGATATCGCAAATAAAAATCTCAATAATAGAGTAAGATTAATAACTTGTAAAGGAGTAGCGGTTTATTGAGTAGCACACTTCAATTATTGATACGAGCGCTATTTTATGCGTTCGATGAGATTTTCGTGCGGCATTGAAGAATCCGTCGGGCCAAACGAGGTGAACCGCGATGGGATCGATCGTCGCGCAATCAAAAATTAATACGCACCGTTCGTGTCTCTCGGCGCCGGTCGATTTCCGGTAAAAACCCAAGAGAAGAGACTCATGCGCGACTCGCGGAGAGAATCGCGGCCGTGTTCCTCTTTATTCACCCGAATTCCAACGCGCGTCTTTTCATCTCGCGGTTCTCCTCCATATGCTACGTACTCGTTTCTCGTTCTCGCGGAATCGCAAAAGGCGCTCGAAACGAGCAAGCGCGAAGCCTGCATGGTCTATGTACCTCGAAAGATTAAATATTTATAAGCAATGGCCGAACGGTTCTCTGGCGGATCGGAATGGATCAGATACGCCTCTTCCTTGGCTTGCGTTAATTTAACGAAGAAACCTATTCCGAAATTTATGTGGCTCTTTATGCCATTCTCGTTCATAATTCTTTAATTTAAAAAAAAAAAGAGAAAAATGCAATCGGATGAGCTACGTTTGAAGAAATCAGCTTTTTCTACGAATCTCGTTAAAGTGTCTAATAAAGTACCTCGTTCGTTTCGACTACAAGATAAATAATCCGACGCGAGAAGAAGCACTGCGAATCGAAAATTTGCATCTAAAATTGGAAGATGTTATTCTCGTTCCGTTTTAGCATTCCCGCCACCAAAGGCAAAACAAGATAGCAATTATAATAAACGAAGTATGATATACATACATAATGATCGAAAATAAAAAAATCGCTAAAAGATGCTAAAACAAGAAAGAAATTTTTGTATTATATAATATAATATAATAAAATTGCTTAAGAAAAACCACTCATCTGAGAACAGACAAGCATGGATTTACTCGTTAATTTATAATTCTAAACTACTGATTTCAATAATTAGATATTGTAAGTCGACAAAAAAATTACGTGGTATCATCATTTAATTAATTAAACAGCATTTAAAATATTGCTTAATCAAAAATATACCATATTTTTTTATTCCAAATTTAATTTTTCCCGATGCGCATTTCAATAAGTAAAAGAGAAAAATTTATTCTAAAAAATTCGTTTTTTTAATGTAATTTTGAAAAACTTTAAAGTTAAAAGAATATGATTTCATACACAAATTATTTAATATTTAAAATAAATCTTTTTTGTAGATTAACGATAATACCATATATCTTATATTTTTTTTTCTATGTATTTATGATAATGAAAGATTAAACTTGAATATGATACTAGAATATCTCGACTTTGCTTTGTATAAACGGTAGTGTCGAATCGAAGAGGTATAACAGCTATCGATATTGCGATTTATTATATCACTCTTATTATTATCATCATTAATATTATTCTAATTAAGAAAAAAAGAGTGTAAAAGAGTAAAGATATAAAATAAAATTAAAAAATATTAAAAACCAGTAACAAACAATCGCAAATCTCTCAGCAACCGCACAATCATTATCATCACTTCACGTCAGTTTCACCAAGAAAGAAAAAAACACAATCAAAAAAAAGTACGTTAGGAAAAGAACAACAGGCCGATCCTCGGAAGATCTTTGCTATGTACTTCATGGAAAGAAACTTGTAGGTACTCATACGTGTAGATTTCTGATACGTGTGCGTGTGCCGCTTTCTCTCTCATATCCCTTTTTCTCTTTCTTTCATCGATCGCTAATACATTTCTCCTTTTTTTCTTTTTCCTGTCTTTGTCTCTCTTTCGCATTAATATAGGGTCCTTAGAACGGCCTTTGGCCCTCTCAAAGATCTCGGAAAGAGGACTCTCTGCCTGTCTCCTTACGCGCGCGCGTCAGGATGCTGAAACGTCATATATATGATGTCTTTACAAAAAAGTTCGTAAAATTATTCGACCGTATGAATCCGTTAAGCGGAGTACTTTCTTAGTTTTCAAACGTTGCATCAACGACTATTAATTTCCATCACATCCCAATCCAATATTTCTGGGAAATTCTAACGCGGAAGCGAACGAATCGTAATTTGCTCGTTGTAAGGATGGTTCAAAAACTTTATCCATCGACGATGTTCGCAAAATATAAAAAATTCTCGATCCCGTTTTCCGTGGCAAATATCGATCGGCAAATTTGTATAAACGCTGCGAAAATAACTCATCTATACCCGGTAAAAAAAAAAACTATTTGAAAGAACGAAAAATTGCGCGGAAAAACGACTTCATTGATCGCAGCGAAAGAATTTGGTAGTCAGTGACTACACGATCGCGCTACGAATGATTCTTCTTGACTTAGATTATTCTGATCTCTAACTACAGTTACGACATATGCGTCCTTAATATCCCTCGACAAAGCACATAAATGTGTACTCACCCGTATTGGCCAGGAAGTACTGCTGGATAACCGGCCCGGATGCCTGTAGCGAACGGAAATGCTGAAAATCATAGATGTAATCGGTGAATCTCAGTTTTTAATAACTGATTCTCAAATTTTCATTTCTTTGTTATTATAATCGAGCTTCTTTAAAACATCTTTTTTTCAACAAGAAATACTAATAAAAAATTATTAACAGAATCCTGCTTTTATATTTTATATAAAATATCCGTCTGGAAAAATTTTGCTGGAAATAATGCAATTTAGTTATTTCTACGATATGGAAACAAGTTTAAAATTGACAATTCTTACTCTGATTATTGACATTTCGACACTTTTTTTAAAGAGAAGAATTAAAATTAATCAAAGAGATTGTGCATAAATAAACAAATGTATGATAATTTAAGAGCGCGTCTTCTATTAAAAAAAAAATTTATTACAAATTAAAATAGAAATAGGGACAAATGTGAACAATTTATAATCGCACAGTAATTCATTGCACATCCAATCATGTAACATTACATCGGTTCAAAGTTAATAAAAAATTTCCAATAAAAATAATTCATATTCTTAGCTGAAAATCTGTGTCATGTGCCACCTTCCATGGCATGTTTTATTCATTAGCATGATCAATATAGAACCAGTGTTCCGTTAAAGAAATCTTGCCGAATCAATATACGATATACGAAATTATCGTATTACGAAAACAGCGAACGCGATATTTCTCGAAGAGATAATTGACTAAAAATTTGCATAACTCATCGTGGACATTGAGAATTCGTGCTTGCCGCATCGATGATTGAACAAATCATCCGATAAAAAAAAGACTTGCAGCCGCTTTCTAAATATTTGTGTGCGTTTTGTCATTATTCTTTACTTTTTTTTTGGTGTTATCGAAACTTTCTGCCTGTTAACGATTGTTTAATAATCGTGTGCGCGATTACGGCACCGTCAGATAGGAACGGACACGTGCGTAAAAGCTGACATGTAGGTATGTACGTGATGCGTGCACACGAGATACTGATGCACCGATGGCATGCTCGCTATCGGAGAGTGCATTACGGCGTGCAATAAACTTGAAATGGCCATGCAACCAAATATATATAACAATTTTTATCCTATAAAGAATGCTTCGCTCTTTCCGACGTACCGTAGAGCAATATAAATAAAATTGGAAATCCGCTTTTTAGAATTATAATCGATAAAACACTATCTATCTTCTTCAACAAAATTTAAAGTTCTCGATTAAATTAAAAAAAATAATAATCTAAATATTTGTGCAATTTCTTTATCTTAATCAAGATCAAATTATGACACTTTTCAATAGAATTAAAATACTATTTAAAACTTCCAAGAGAATAACAGATAATGCGGTGAAAAAGATTTAGAAATATAGAGATAAGATGGATGTAAGCGCAAAAAGCGATCTACGTTAGTGCAAATATGATAATCTGCATCGGGAACATTCAGCAATAAACTAGAAGCAATTCTTATGTCGGAGAGGAAGAAAAACTAGACAATTCGGTACTCGGGTTAAGGCAATTTTAGACTTAGGTCTCGAAACGCCAAGCTATGTTGGCTCAACGCCATTAGGAGAATTCGAGACAGTGACTCAAGGAAGACTTCACCATTTAGCCGATCGTCTTTCGGCCTTATTGACCTTTCGCATCCACAATGTATATCACGATATGATTGTATAAGAAAAATCTCATTGTTATTTATTTATTAGATGATACTCTTTTTGGCAATATATCAAACTATTACTTTCATATTTTGCACAGTACAATATTTTTTTTTTCTAGCAATTAAAGTAAAAAATTAATGCTTTGATTAAATGTTTTATTAGTCTTTCATTAAATTTAGACGTACACGATTAATAAAAAAGAATGCGATGGAATTATCCTATGCGTCCCAAGATGCGTCGCATGACAACATATTTTGGTGACGAATGTGTGTAAAGTTTTAGTGATTCTGGCAATGTATCAAATTGAAAACTTGTGACTGTGACGCGTAAATATCAAAAACAACGAGAACCAAATGCAAAGTACGAGGTAGCCCTAAACAAAAATGATGATCGCGATTCTAATATTAGAAGCGTGCAAGTATATATTAATTCTAATCGCGAGTTAATCCGCATAACTTAAAAAACGTTTGAAATTTCTGCACAAATATGATTGATTATAACAATTAAACGCAATTACAAAACGTCGTATCGATACCAATTACATATAAAATTCAATTCGATTAATTGCAAAACGCGATTAAAAAAATTGCACGATTAATCTAAAAACCTCGATACATTTTAGGAATCAGCCGTTATTAGTACTAGGAAAAGAGGACAAAATAATACGTTTTTTATCGACCAAAATAATTCACTCATATAATTGGAACTTACTATGTTACCATAGAGTTTGTAAAACGATCTTCAGAATAATTGGATATATTGCAATATTAGGTCGAATCAATAGCTAGCACACACATTATCACACAATTACAAAAATGATAAAATGATAAAACTTACTCGTTTGCAAATTACCCCTGGGCTTAGCTCCAAGAATGGCCAAGTTGACGTTTGCCTTGCGACCATCGATGATGGGATTAGGGTCTTTGCATGCCCTCTCTGCCGCCGGTCTATCCCCCATAATTACCTGCATACAGATTGAATTTATCCTTTGATTAATCAAAACTAAATTACGGATATGTATTTTTTTATGTATTTTGTACAAATTACTATGTCATTCAAATATAGAAAGTAAACTTTTATATTTTCTGCTCAACGCATTTTGGAAAGAAAAACTAATTGTAAATTATAGTCTTAAATATAAGACGATAGGTCAAATTTTATGGTACGCATTCGTTACAAATATAAAAAAGCAGCAGATAGTATTTGAGCGTTATCGTCAAGTTTCTCGCCTACCAAGAGATGCAGTAAATAGAAATCTCAACAAGGATCAACAAGATCTTCCGCCACAAATTTTGTAAATTAAGAATTGTGTAAAATAAATTAATTTTTTAGAAATAAGAAAAACCAATCTCTCATTTATATTTGAATGATCTAGTATTTTGTCATCAATATTTACTTAATATTTACTTATGCAAATGTTTTTTAAAATCGATAAGTTAAATAATCATAAAAAGAAGAGAGAACGCTTTCACATCGTTAACAACATTAATATATCAAGAAATAATACGACAAATGACACTTATTTTTATAATCAGCATACGTGACGATGTGGATAACGTAAGTGTATACACGATACAAAAAAAATAGATATGGGTACTCATGGGAAATACGACTTACACACAATGCGAAAGAAAAGGCATTGTTACGAGCGGAAAGACTAAACTTATTATGTGCATATATGTAAAAAGAGATTGAATTTATGGTCCCGAACTATAAAATTACTATAGAGTTAACCCGTTTAATTAATTAATTTTATCGATCACTTTTTCCCATCTCAACAGTTCGATAAAGAAAATGTAATAACGAAATAGATATTTACAATAAAAACAACTTTTTATATGTGAATATAATATGTATTATATATCGCGTTAAATCGAATGAACGATCTACATCTATTCACTTGTAATTACTTACAAAGCCATAGCCTCTGCTTTTGCCGGTCTGTCTGTCCGTGATGACGACGGCTTCTTCGATATCTCCATAAACGTTAAAATGTTCCCTGAGACTCTTGTCGGTGGTATGATAGGGCAAACCACCGACAAACAGCTTCGTCCATGTTGTGTCCTTTTGCTGCGGCGTAGTACCAGCCAGGGCACCCAGCCCTTGCACCAGCTCGTCGGGCGCTGGGGCACCTACGGCACCCACCGCGCCCACACCGAGACCAGCGGCACCCGGCATCAGCATCCTCCAAATTTTGGCGAGATCGCCGCCGGACGGAACAACGACTTGCTCAATCTTGACACTTTCTTTGGTACCTCGGTCAATGTTAATAACGCCACAAGCCGTGCAGCATTTAGACAAGGAATGCTCTTTGCTCTGCAAACAGAAAGAAATCTGTATTAATATAAGAAGAGAAAAATATATAAAAATTAGCGTATAAAACGGAACGAAAAAGCCTGAGTGAGTGTTCTGCTGTTATTTCATTTTAGAATAATTAGCAAAATCAATATTTTATATATATATATATACAATATACGTGTCTTTTTTAAGTATAAATATACAGTTGGAATTGTATTTTTTTTTCTTTAGCAAAAATTAATATAAAGAAAGAAAAGATTAATTATGGATATATTTTTCATCGAGGATAAAAAGAAATAATAAAATTCAATTTCTAAAATAAAAATAACACAACACTTCTTTATTTATGACTCACCCGTTTAAAAAAAAAACTTAATATGAATTTAAATTAATTAACTTTATAATTAATTTTTAATTCTTGTTAAAAACAAATTGAGTTCTACCTTTCCAGTTTTAGAATAGAATTTCTTATTCCATAAAATATGCAGCAGTAAAAACTTGTTTTAAAATATTTTGGATGAAATCGATACGTATGTATTTTCGTCTATCGTGAATATTCCCGATTTAAATATCTGTTGCATCCTACGCGAGAACATACGATGAGTGAAATCTGCACACAACACACCTACTTTCCTTTAATCTTCTGTGTAAAATAGACAGCAGCATAATGTATATATCTCATTCTTTTTTTATTTTAATAAGAATAATAATATTAAAATCTTTATCTCTTTATTTCGTCTCTTCACAGAAGCAACGAGAAATTTAGTTTATAATTGAAGATTTCAATTATTTGTCGAAATATATTTTTATTTCTAATGTATACGAGATGTTCTGGACAGAATAATTGTACGTCACATAATATATTAAAGAAGCTTCACTGAAATCGATATAAATAATCAAATATTCTTATTCATTTAATGATGCTTGATCTACATTATGCCCTCAAAGTAGCATGTTTGTTACGGAAGGTTTAATTTGTGTACCGCGCGCGTTGCTGTTTAATTCAACTGCGTCCAATTAAGGAGGCCGCACGCGTGCGGTTTAGAAAGCTTTGATGAAAAGGTTCACTTCTCATCCCTACGAGGGTGAAAGAACTGCTGCACTTGGTTATGCAGGATCGATACATAATGTATATACGCGTGCGTGTATGTGCGAGTTTCGTGCAATTACATTGCAACCAAATTGACACGCGTGCACTATAACGATGCGTGCGTTTTAATGCGTATGTTATTAGCGGTGCTACGCTACAATTGTGATCTGACGGCGATAAACAAAGTGCTATCACTTTTCTCCCGAGGAATTTTATTTTGCTGATTTGTAAGAATATACGCATCTTCACTCACGTTAACTTCAACTTGAAAGGAGAATCATAATTGAGTGAAATGGACGCGGAAATTCTTACGCAAAAAAGAGATATCGCCACTACTTAGACGCCAAGCAGAAATTCATAAATTATAATAAATAATGTGTGGAATTATATTAATTAACGCTTAACGTGTAATCAACAAGTCGAATGTGTAATCAACAAGAGATTCTTATAACATAACTTTCAAATACAATCTAAAAGCGATGAAACAAACAAGTAAAAAAAATGAAATATTCTTTAAATATTTCTTTAAAAAAATGTCTTTAAACATCAAATTAATTTCTTTAGCATACATTCTCTATAAATACACAACAACGTGAAAATAATATTACCATTTCCATTTTGCATAAAAAAAAGAATTTTTGATTTTGCAAGAGAAATTTATTTTATGTTATATCTTAATTTCATAAATAGCAAAGTTTTACTTATAAACAAAATTTACAAAAATAGAACCAAGTGCGCATGAGTAATATGCTATCTAAAATAACATTGCCTACGTAATAAATCATGTCATGACGTGAGCTCAACCATAACATAACGTGAACGACGTTTAAAAATGTTAAAATTATTGAAATGGTATATTTTCATGAAACATTAAATATAATATGCGTATATATACATATATATGTTTAATATATACAATATAATTAATATACTTTTTCAAAATTTCTATCTCTAAAAATTCGAACAATCAGTTCAAACATCTCTCATTAAATAAACATTAAATATCATTAAAATATCATAAGTATTAAAATATCATAGCGCTTCTTATAAAAAACATGCAGAGAAATATATCGACATTTGAGAAAAATGATTAATTTTTTAAATTTTATTTGTATAGTATTTATTCTCACATATATAACAAAATATTCATATAAAAATCAATCTAACGAAGAAAGTGTACAAGGTTTAAAAAGTAATCTTTTCAAGATATGATATTATCAGCATATGGTGATGCAACACAGCATATATGTGCGCCCGCACACACATACACACACATATGTATACGCGTATACATCTGCGCTCGCTACTTCCTGCAGTCCACGCAGCACGAGAACTGATGGACGACGAAAGCGAATCGTCCTCTAGTTTCGTCTGACGCGCGCATTATTTTCGTCTATCTTCTCTGTCCGATTCGCTCGAATCGATGACTCCTCCAGGCACAAAGAGAACAAATAAATCTCCCCATTCTCCTTCTGCGTAGAAGTTGAACCCCTGTATCGGGGAAAATCCGATGGAACAACGACGGAGGAGCGAGAGAGGGCTTTACCCCGAGAGTGACGAAGAAAGCTATATACGAGGGACAAGAAGAAAGAACGGAAGGGGGGGGGGAAAGAAGGAACCCTGACCTCCATCCAAGGCTCTCTCCTTCTCTTCTCTTCTCTAAAGAAGCCTAAAAAGGGAGCCAGTTTTGCTCCTCGCTTAGAGAACGATTCGAGGGAACCAGGTAGTAGGGCATTTTTCGTACGGCTCGTCTTTCGAGTTTCTGCAATGCGTTCTATGGTGCCGATGGTAGAAGAGAGAGAGAGAGAGAGAGACAGTCCTTTTTCTCTTCTTTTTCTTTTTCCTCTCTCGTTTCATCGCAACGCGTTCCCATACGCGCTCTCGCTTCTCCTTGTCGGTGCGTATTATGCGCGTCGGGCCCTACGGCGAGGACAGAGGGGCCCCTCTGCTGCAACCCCCGCCTACTCTCCTTGCCCACCCCTCCTTCTGCCTTTTTCTACCGGTACTTCGACAGAACGATCGTCCGTCCGTTCCCGGTCGAGATCCCCCAAAACGACGGCGGCAGCTGCTGCAGAAAACCGGTGCAGCACGCCGTATAATCATATTGTTGTATTGCCATCACCGCCCTCTCCTCCTTCACCATTTTTCGTCCTAGATGTTCTAGTTTACGCTAAACTTGTCGGAACATTTTCTCAACAAATAGCTTAAAAATAATTTGAGATTGTTAAGTGTAACTCTATATATTATTTAATTTTGGAATGTCGATATATATTTTAATAAAATGATACCGACAATCCATGAAGCTAAACGTGCTGAGAACAATAATTTTAAAATAAGAAATTAATTTTCTTGTTAAAGTGACACAATATATCATTAGATTCAATAAATCGAAATGAAAACCTTGTTATCAATATTAAATTTCTAGAATATAATAAGATCCATCGTGATTATCTATTTAAAAGCTCTTATTCTTTGACAGATCACGATTTATGATTCTGTCTCTCTCTTTCCTATTCAAAAAAAAATCTTTTAACTTTATAATATATTTTTGTCTCGAATTCTTTGGCTGTGCAGTGTCGACCAATTCTGGCATTGGCAGAAGTAGTTTCAACCCTTCAGGTAGTAAGAGGTACCCGCTCGCAGAGGGTAGAAACAATGGCCGTACGCCGGCTGGTTCGTAAGCCGGTGGAAGCATACGGCAATCGGGTTCCTTCACGATCGCAAAACACGAAAATTTCGACCGATTCTCAGCTGTATTCGCCGATCATATTCCATGGAACAAAGTGTCCTTCCGCGGTCTTGTTCGTGCGCAATAAAATTTATTTGGAAAATAAATAAAATCATACAGAAAAATGTTGTTGCGCAGTACGGAAGTTGTGCAGATGAATATCTCTCTCTCTCTCTCTCCGTCTTTCTCTCCCTCAAAAGAGAGAAAGAAAGAAAGGGAGAAAGCTCGTGAAACAGCCTCCTGTTCTATGGAACACCCGTTGAGAGGCACTGGTTTTTAATAGCCCACACGTGGACTGTGCAGACACCCCGCGGTGCACGAGAAGAATGTACTTCTCGGAGACGCGCTGCACTTAGGCGACAAATTCTCAGCGCTACGCGTAACGTCGGGACGTCGGGTCGTCGTCGTTGTCATCATCCTCGTTGTCGTCGTCTTTCGATCACATCAAGCGTGTGGCGTGCATTCGGCACTGGCCGATTGCCATGCGCTTCGCGAAAGCCACGAAAATATCCTCTCGGCCAAAGTCGCAGACAGGCCAGACTTTCGAAAAACACACGCGACGCGTGGCTTTCGTCGTGTTTCGAGAAAAAAATGTCAGCTATACGCGAGAGTTAATTGCAGGCGCAAAAGAACATTAACCCGAAGACGTGCCTGCGGCTTTTTAACCATCATTATCGCGAAAATTCTTTCGCGTTGTTTCTTTTTATTATAAAAGAGTTGGTAGCTCCATATTGATTTCATAAAAAGCAAAATAAATAAGAAAATGCTCTTCTACTATATTTAAACTTATAAGCTTAGAATAGAATATTTGATACATGTTCCAATTTTTTAATCGCTTAGATTTTAATACATTTTTAATTAAAAAAAAAATATATATATATATTCTTATTTTTAATTATTTTGAACGTGTATTTAATTAATGCTAATTGATTTTTAGGCGGACTTGATTCACCTGGTCCTAATTTTTTTCGTAACATTTACATATGTAACGCGTAATTGTTAATTAAATTTCAAAACAACTGTTTCCTTTAGAAGCTAATTGGCACGTTAATATTATTCGCGTCTTTCCGCAAAACTTGCCACGGCAAGTTATGGTTATGCGACACAGCCTCGCCACGCAACCAATAACGTCATTATTAAATTGTTTGCATCTCATGCAGGAACACTTGTTGAAGCACGATTGACAATAAGCGTGTATGTCTGTTGAAAGTTTATACCGCCGGCATCGACGGTGTACGGGTCGTCCGAAGAGCGTTATGCGCTACTTGCACGTTGATAGCGTGAAAATTGCATGGCTTGCTTTTTTTCTACATCGAAGATACCAACTATGTAAGAAAATGGCACATTGTGAATCGCACGTTAGTCTCTAAGGAAAGAAGGAAACACTTCGTTCCGTGTTATTAGAGAAATTTAAAAAACTTGGAAAGTTACGAAATCTCTGCTACGTTCTCTTAACTAACTTTCTTTCTAAATATAAATATAATAAAATTTTATTTTCATGGATTTTATTAATATATTAGTTAAATATTAAAAAAAAAAAAACTGCAAATATTACAACACGTACACATTATATAATGTGACGTCTCTTTAAAATATAATATTAAAGAAGAATACTACAAATAATATTTTTTGTAAAAAATTATTAATTAATCAATTAATTATCAAAATTATAAAAAAGAAATCTGCAGCAATCAGTAATCAATTTGATATGAAAAAAAAAACCAAAAAGCTTATATAAATACGATGCAAAATAAATCTTATACTACACTGTATCGTTCACATTTTATAAAATTCTCAGAACTCGGCGAACTTCCGAAAGAACATCGTACATTAGCATAACTCGGTCTAGACTAGTCCCGTTACCTCTCAAGATAAGGCAAACATAAAAATCGTAGCAAACTTTCGCGAGCAAATAACTTCCACATTCCTGTGCAAAGTTACGAAGTTTCTTTTACGCGATTCTCGCGAAGAAGAAAAGCGATCGGGTAAGCCCTACACCGTTGGAAATCCTGCTTGAAATGCTTTCAGGAATACATCACCATATGGCTAGTAAATTTCTACTTTAAGCTAGTCGAGGAAACCTGAAGTTTTTAAGCTTCATAATTTTGATAAAGTTTCCATGCCTGAGACCTGGATTTTTGTCGCAATATTAATCCGCTTAGGTGAGATATATTCACGGATATATGCAATAAATATGATAGAATATCCTGTAATAATCACGGATATTATTGAGCAATTTTCGGGCGAGAGGTGCTATCACCTGCGTCCGTTTCCAGACGTACTGGCTCGGACGAAATCGCCGGGCACAACCGTCGGGGTTTATTAATAAACATCGGGGAACACGTGCCCGGTCGTCGTGGCAGCCCTTTGTCGCGGCCACCGGGCCGTTGAACGGGGGTTGAGAGGGGACAGCTGAGGAAGAGAGAGAAAGAGAAGAAGCAGACGGTTTTACGAACGCGCGCAAGATGGCCACGCAAAGTTCCGCCGATGAGGATAAACAGAATTTCCTGCGCGCACAAATTTGCGCGCCACGCGATTTCACACACACACAATTTATATACATACACACACACACACACACACATACAATCTGTTGAGCAAATCGGATTCAGTCGAGACGCCACGCCGCGCCGTTTCGTGCCGATTGATCGTATAGATCGCATCGGGGAGCAGGGATCCAGGGAAGCGCACGCTAATATCGTTCGCAAGACATCCAATTTTTTATCGATGCATCTCGATGTCGCGATTATGTCGAGGGAGAGTTAAATGATCCTTTTTTCCCCGCCCCGGCGACAGTATCTTTTTTTTTTTTATTTATAATTGAAAAATTATTTTCCAAGAATGAAGCAGAGAGTCGACGACTATTGTTATCTCGTCGGTCAATTAAATGGATTAAGATCGGTATTACGATTCCGAATGTGTGGTGTTTGTAATTTGTTCGCGATAATTAAAAGGCAAGATGAGTAGGTATAATAGTGAATTGCAGTTTTACATTCTTATATAACTAAACTATGCGCGAGTATTTTGTCCGTATCATAATTTTTAATGCATATTATATCATTTTATTTTTTTATTTATATGTCTACTCTTTTCTATCTTCCATCGGTTTATTTCTTTTCAGTAGAAAAATCAAGTCATAAATATGAAATTCAAATCAAATAGAAATGATAAATATTTATCTCGATCATAAAAATATGACATTAGTCGTTCTCTAAATAAAAAAAAAAAATATATTTCTTATTTATGTATGCTCAAGAATTATAAATTAATCCACAATCGATCTTGTCGTCGCGCACGTTTTTATAATTATAATACCGCGCGATGTGAAAACGCGTTAAGCGATACGCTGTAATGATAGCAATTAAGGAACGATGCTATCAACGTTAATGAGCCGCGCGACTCCAAAATTCATGCAGCGAGCGAAACGATAGCAGCTTTATACACGGTATGCATTAAATATGACGCGTGCTAACGCGCAAGAGCGATGACTTTTTTACAAGTTATCTTGCAGCCAACCGTGTGCTATTTTCGAAAGAAATAACGGTGAACGGAGCGCCGATCGAAAATAGATCGATCGAAGAGAAGAGAACGTGCCACGACTTAATTACTTCTGTAGAGATAATTAGAGAATCGATCTAGGAAGAAGATTGGTACAGTTATTGATAGATACTGCGTCGAAATATTTCCGTTATCTCGTCATAATAAAATATAATGGTTTCTAAAAGTCTATTTTTCTGCTAGGAATTTATGGAGAAATCATCACGTTAAAAAAGTTTACTCACCTATGTTTACTCCCGTCGCACTACGTATACGTATGTATGTGTGTCCGTACGTCGCACTACAATCCGCCGCCTTGATAATCCCAATGATGATACACAATCAGTATTACACAGCAAAATTAGAAGGGACCCACGTGATGATCTGACCCACGCACTTCGAGAGAGACGATCGCTCCACTTCGGTTGGAAAAGATACGCGCTGTGGGCACCTCTTTTTATTCGTACGAGTACGTGTTAGCGAATCACCACACGCTGAAACGGCGCTCTTCTTGCGATCGCGAGCGCGCGCGAAAAAAACGCAACCGACACCGACGAAGGCCCACGTGCGAGTGCCTTCGAGTCGAGTTTGAGTTGTCGCGGCTACTGCGCGGCGCTTCAGTTTGCCAGCTGGCGCGTCTTCGAGCGTTCCGATTGGCTCGTCTCCGCCACGTGCGTGCGCAGCCGATCGTATACCTGGGAAACGAGCGCTGAAATTCAAAAAGCGGAATCGATCGACTGTTTTGACGGCTGATACTCGACGACGCTTGTTTCGCGAGATGCTTCTTACAACAGGGTAATGACTTGTCGGATGATCGATTGTCTCGATCACCACGTATAGGTAGATTCACACGACGAGTACTCTGTATTCTCGCGAGCGAATTGTTTCGATTGTTTTATTCCCTTCAAGAGTATTTATGTTTTTCATAAATTCTAGATATAAAAGTATGTATGCTGACATTCTTTCTGTTTTTTATACTGATTAAAAACGTGATTCAAAATTTTCACAGACAATTATGATTTGATTATTGAATACGAGTCATAACTGCGAAGTTTACAAAGGTAATCATGTTAATCAATTTATAAGAAATTAGAATTATTAAAATACATAAAAAAATTATACTTACATAATACAAAAAATATACAACATATAGCTAAAAAACATCTATAATATTTATTCAATTTATTATTTAGCGCACTGTAATTAAATTTTATTTTTGTCATAATTCTTCCTTCAAAATGCTTAAAATATGTAATATTAACAATTATTCTCTCAGAAATTATATATTACAAATTAATGAAACTGAAAATAAATATAAAAATATATCTATCTAAAAAAATTTATCGTAGAAACAGCTATTAAAAGAATTTTATTATATAAATAAGTTTCTCTTTCTTTTGTCCTGCAAGAATTTCTCTTGCGAATGGACAACAAAGCGAAACGATCCCGTAGAACCTACGAAGCGAGGCGATGGTCCGCGAAGGAGCATCAGCTGTTCGAATTATTATCGTTGCAGACGACGGCAGATGTTCACTAAGCCTGAAATGCTCTCCCCCGAAAGCTTTGGACTCGCTGATCTTTTTTTCTTTCGAGCCGGTGAAAAACTCGCAAGAAAAGCACACCTTTCCTACGCCTCGCACGCGGCTTGAACATTAACACCACGCAACACAAACGGGAAACGAATGCATATTACGTTGAATTATAGAATAAAAAATATCCCTACGCATCATTCTCATCTTTTCACAAAATTGTATCAACGAATATCTTAACGTCATCATATATTTTTGTACGCGTTTATATATCGTTTAAATATATCGTATATTTATACTTTGAAATAACGAAATGTTAAAATAATTATAAATATAATAATCTTAAAAAGTTTTCTTGAGAATTTGTGGCAACATAGGTGAAAACATATTCATTTATCATTATAATTTTATTAGAAATTTTAGGGCATAATTTTCTTCAATCATTAATTTATGTCAAATTAATTCCAATTAAATTTATTTCAACACTATCATAATATTTTGACCAATAAAAAATCCAACAGAGTGTTTTATTACATTGTTCTCTATCTTAGATAGGATTATGCTGCTCCAGTAAAGACTTATACAAGTTACAATTATCTTCGTATGGAAATCAATGTGAGATATAGTCTCTTCGTGTTTCTTATGCACATTATATAAACGGTCATAGAAATAATCGTAAACAATTTTATTACACGAACTCTTGAGGATAAGTAACCAGACAGCAATAATTCGTAGCTGCCCAGTTAAGTTCGCTTTGATACCTTTGAAGATACACGACGACGCACTCGGGAACGTCGCATTGTTCTCGAAACCTGCCGTTAGTTATGTGCGACGGAATATAGGATATCATCGTCCGTCCGCATCGTCCGCGTTCGAAGGAGACCCCATAGGTTCGTGGCACGCGCTGCCAGCTGCCACACAGCTGTCTCTCCTCTGTCGTCCCCTATACACGAGACCAGGGTTCTTACCCGACCGTGGTGCATTTACCACACCGAACGAACCGTTTCGCTTCTGTGTGCACGACGCACGTGCGTACGCGCGACTCGACGATATTTTGTTGGCATGAGCGTTGCGACATGCCTTTTCAAATCCACGTATGTAAGAACACGAATATCGAAAAAAAATCTGATACAAAAAATCTATAAAAATACTCTCAACAATTGCAGCAAATCGATATTTTAATCGCATAAAATTGCGACTATTGTTAACGACGCTGTTATCAATGGCTATTATTAATTATTTATTAAGTAACTTTGTTCATGTGCAATTTTTGTTATTTCTAAATTAATTATGTTGTTATAAACATAATTATATTTATTCTCGACATACAATATTCAAATATAAATTTTAATTACTGAAAATCTTTTTAATTTTTCCCATATTATAAAAAGTTCTTACGTTATTCAGAAAAATATATATACGAATATATATATGAATTTGAAATATATATATAAATTTGAAATACACTACACGGAGGAAGGGGGGTAAAGAATTATACTATACATATATATTATTTTTAAGGGTTCAGTAGAGTTGCTCTTTCCCGCGCGAAATACGTATGTTGAATTGCATATACGATATTACTGGAAGACGAGGCTACGCATGGGGCTTTACATTTGCGGTTTCCCATCCGGCTCGACCGGCGCAGCCTCGCAGGAAATAGTCCTGGAGAGTATCCTAGAGGATATAAGGCTATTGGGTTTCGCGTGGAAAAAAATGAGGTTGCCGGTGACAGAAAGTGGGCAGGAGAAAGGGATATACGAGGAGATGTAAGTGCTCGCACGAAAAATAAAAAAGATCGGGAAGGGGGAAAAGCGAAGTGCACACGCCAAGGGCCGGAAATCCCAGGGCATTCAACTCTGACACCCGGTATATATTTAGATTTAAAGAGACCCGATTTTGTAGATATGTACATGACGGGATTAATAGACAGTTCGGGTCTTTAAAATAACGAATCTTATACAGTAATCAGTTTTCCAGAATCATCTCCATTGCTGTTTGGAAGATATACTATATTAAAGTCTAGAAAGAATACACACAGAATAATATTTCTAGTATATTCCTTAATGAGCTGAAATATGAAAACGATTGTAAAAAATATAGCAAAAGAGATGATAATTATTGAAAAAATACATAAAAATTTCTGATTTTTTAATTATATATATTCCATATCTTAAAAAAATATTTTTATGATTTTAGAACTAAAAATTACTGTACTTTGACACAGTTCTTGTATTTTTATTATTGCAAGATAATAGTCGAAAACATTTTTCAAATCACGTCGCCAAAGTTATCGGAGACGTGTCAGATTTAAGATGCACAGCAATATATTAGATACTACGAATAAAACCGCGCTGCAAAATTCACAAGATGACACATTGAAAGGATATCAATTGGCCAACCAAACCCCTTCAATCACTCGTACGATAACTGATTGGAAAACATATTTCAGATATATTCCTAAACGGAAAATATGCGCGGGATATTCATGTGCTCCGAAGCGGATTTATTTACGACGTGTTTGTGAGAAATGGACATTAAATTGGTCGGCCACGTGGCGTTCGATAGCATCATCGTTTTTAAAGAAAGCTTGACACTTCCGCGAAGGAAATCGATCATTTCCTATCTTTCGTGTTTATTGCACAATCGCGCACGCAATGCCTCGCATCGGCTCACCCACATATCTGCATGTATGCACGCGCGAAACTCCACGGAATTACCGGCAAATGTATATATGTGATATATGCCATTGTATCATATACACGCGCGTCACGCCGAGAGTGTAACGATCAAGGGAAATTACTGTAATCGCGATGTGTCAGAGTTTCGCGATTGGTTTACCCTCCCGTAAAGCCACCGTCTTTCGCGCGCTTTTCAGGCCGAGGGGACGCTGAATTACATAATCACTGAATTACGTATATCTGAATACTTTTTATACGTTTCCCGCATTTTTTGCAAATGCTTTTTACCTGTGTTTAGATATACATATTTAGATATATTGTATTAATCTATTTCGCAAATTTTTTTCTAATTACTATGTGCTGATTTTACATGAAACATAAATATAATATTTTTATATATAAATGGTATTTATTTAACTTTTATAGAGAAAGAAAACGGAGTGGTAAAACCGTATTATTGCGTGTTCTTTTCTACGATTCCTCAACTTGTTGCCGCGAATTAAATGTCGGATGCATAATTTGGATTACGAGAATCTGCCAGCTGAAAAATTACGCGCGAAAGCTGCAAGATACCGACGTCTTTAGAGACACAATACCAGCAGTGGCGGCCTTCTCGAAATAGACGGAGGAGCCCAGCCCTCCAAACTCGTCCGAAAATAAAACAGGTTTCTTCCTTGCGAGCGATGACGTCCAATTGGTGGGCTCTGACGGAACAGTCATTTATTTATTATCCGACGTTCATTTCCGATTATCTTTATCGTCATTGCTATTCACACCGTTCAACGAGTTTTGCATATTATTAGCAGATTATTATTTTATTGATCGGCTTGCGCGAAATCAATCCCGAACAACTGTGCAATCCTGCGAACAATTGTCCAAACATATTACGTACGTACGTACGTTTGAAACCTCTAGTATCAAGGGCGTGAGTTTCTCATAATAGTCATTTTCGTAATGGAATAATACTGTTATACGTTTCGCAGAGTTGTTTTCCATAATAATATCAGGAAATTTAATCGTAGAATTTAATACATATACTGTGCGTAATGTAATTTAAAGTTTATAGATTAATACAATTTTCTAATTTCATTTAATAGTTATGTATATATATATTTTTTAAATGTATATATATATGCNTATATTTTTTTATAATAAAAAAGAATATGTATATATCAAAAGAATAAAAACTTAGAAGAAGAATATGTATATATCAAAAGAGTAAAAACTTACATAGGAACTATATATAAATTATAGAAAAAATGTCACGTGTATGTTTCTTGAAACTTGTACAAATTAGACCCAAAAATTAATTTTAACATGTTATAAAAAATGCATGATAAATTGCAATATGTTTTAAATATTTTACGAATCTTCATATCTTTAAATTATAACTTCAGATTTCTTGTAGATTTTATTTATCTCATAGATTTAAAATATTTAAATAAAAGATTTGAGAATAATAAACGTATAACAAAGATTTTAATTCTTCACAAGTTTACCAAGTACGATATACTTTACACAATTTGAATTGGAATTTAATGAGCGTATATAGACAATTTATGTCACAGGTCTAAAACCGTCATTGTATGGTGGCTGATATTCCGGTGAATGATAAAATCGGTTAACATCCGTGCCGGCATATTCGTTTATTTGATCGGACGGAAATGGCCCAGAGAAGGGTGGGTTGAAGTGAGAGCTCGAGTAAACATTATACTTGTCATTTTGATAAAAGTTAGGTCGTTGCTCATACGGTAAATTGTAATTAATCTGATTATGATCATGATGCGTATTCGAACCTGTCGTGAGATCCACGCGATTTACGTTCTGCGGATACCCACCGTAATATCCTAGATAGGGCGGATACTCCGTGTGATGAGGATAATAATGCGTTTCGTTTTTCGGTGGTCCGAAGATGATCTTAGTTGGGTTTGTTGTCATAGCCATATTTGTATCTTCTGTCACGGTCTGATTCTCGTTAGCGGCGGTCATGTTTGCATCTCGAAAATTCAAGGTTGCTCGCGAATCGTCGGCATTTACTTGGAGATTTTCACGCTCTCTGATCGATCCTTTCAAGAAATTACCATGTTTTCGCTGGCCCTCTTTGCACCCGCGTATCTAACGAGTTTCAACAATAATACGCATTAAAGTATAATATGCTACATCGAATAAATGCAGTAAATAAATGTCTTCTTTGAACATGCATTAAACAAGATATTGTATATTTTTATGAATATAATATGATTAATTTTAGCTTAATAAAAATATAAAAATATTCAATTGATCAAAAAGAATTTTTTTGAAACAAAACTATATTATATATTTTAAAACGGAGTTAAAATACGTGAAGAAATATTTTTGTTAATAATAGCATAATGAGAAATATATGACAGAAATAAAATAACGATGGAATTAACGATTGCATAGTATGTCGTATAAGTTCCATATATGAAAGTTGATACTTTAATGAATATATATAGTTAATTATATCATTTTGAACTCAAATTAAGTTACATTACGCATACGTCTAGCGATTCATATGTAAAAGCTATGGAAAAATAATGATAGACATAAGGAAACTTTAATCATATGAACATCTGTCGTACAACTATATGTCATTATACGAACATTCAATATATCGTTCTGTTTTTGCATTAGTAGATTGCTAGTCATAGATTCAATGTATTTTACAAATCATCTCACAAATAATTGGAAACTTTTAAAGCTCGCTTTATATGATTTTACTTAAATTTCAGGAATAAATAACTATATTCATAGCAGAAAAAAATATCATATTATATTATCATAAATAGGTATTTCCGTACAATTAATTCCGTTTCATACGAGTAATTGAATGCCGGCACTTTTGACTTCTGAGAAAGTACGATACTTATCGCTAAAAGATGCGAGATCGAGATAAAACATTGCGTGGCTTTCTGCTCTAATTTCTATTTGTATATCGCGGCGCAATCTATTAAATTACTTACCTTCTCTTCCGCGTTCCGGTCGACTTTGGCTCGCAATTCTGTACGATCGTCAGCTCCGTCGTCGCCATTACCCGTCCTCTTGTTGTTTTTGGACTTCTCCTCGTCTAAATATTCTTCGTTATCCTCCGCCAGATCGATCGGCGGTCTGTTTTCAAACAGACTGATCACTTGCGGCGATAGATCGTTATGCGACGTCGTTTGAGGTTTCGCCAAATTGATCATCGGCGCGAATCCGATGGAACCGGGAAGGAGGAACGGATAAGATAGCATGGGATAAGGATTGTAATAGGCGGCGAGATAAGGTGAACCTTTGGAGGAACCTAGGTTTAAGCCAAAAGATGTCTGTGGCAATTTGGCGATGGTCTTGGCAGTGGAGGATGCTGCGGTGGCTAATCCCCCAAAGCTGAGGCCAGCTAGAAAGGCTAAACTACTCAAAAGTCGCGATTTTCTCCTATTCGTCTCGTTGTTCAAAACCTTTGACTCATCATTATGCATCGACTTGCGCTTAGACATATCGAGATTTTTCCAGAAGATCCCCTTCTCAATCGTATGAATATTGTTTCTTTCGACGAGCTTAGTATCTTCAGGTTTGGCGACAGTGATTGGAGTTGTGTTACCTTGTATCTCTGCAAGAAGAAAGAGAATTATTAAAATGAAAGAAATAAATCAAAAGATTACAAAGATCGATATTGAAATATTATTTGATCAAAGCTTAAAAAAATCTAAGGTTGTTTACCACTGCAATATCCGGCGACGGCTAGTAAAACGATGATGAGGGAACCCATTGTTACCGCGTCGTGATCGAAACAAGAATGAGGTGACATCGCGTAGACTCTTTAACGAAATTAAAAAGATGCGGGTTGCCCCGCATGTTTGGTCTCGAGAAAGTGTGTTTCGTAGATATCGCTATTTGATAATTACATTGATCTCTAAGCTTTCTTCCTGGTCGTGACAATTACATTGCGTGGAAATATGAATTATCAATGCAGGACGCGCGAGATTATTTTTCATTATATTAGAATCTTTTTAAAACTTTCATATTATATTTAATGTGTCTGGAAATGTATGCATATGTTAAAAAATGAAATAGCAAAACAATAATGCATATCTTCGCACGGCACTTCCGATTGCGGAATAATTACATGAGATATGCACTTTCTTATATCATAAGAGAAAGCAACATCCCGAAAAGTATGATTCCCCCAACGTTTACACGGAGCCAAAATTATATGCTACTCGTTACAACAATGCTATCTCCTATTGTTGATATATATATACGTACAATAATATGAATTGTAAAATCGAAATATTAAAGTAATGAAACAAAAATTGTGGTATATATCAATTAATAATTAATTTAAATTAATTTAAATTAATTCGTTAAATTAATAATTAATTTACGAAAAATTTAAGGAAAATTTAAAGTTTTGAATATATTTGGCTCTAAGCATTGATAAATAATTATTATCCATAAGGATCGATACTAGGATGATCATATCAAAATTTATAATTTTTATATCTGTCGTTTCAATTTTTACTTGCAATAATAAATGATAGCGTTGTGATAAAAATATATGGTCACAATACAATTTCGTATACTTTATCAAAGATTAATTAATAGTTAATTGTAAAAATTATAGCAAATTATGTTCTGATATTAGTCGTGACCGCATTTAGAAATAGAATTCAATAATATAATGAAGCGTTTCGTATCACTACCGCTGTGTGAATGATAACAAGGCCATAACCCGTAACATGTAAATAATAGAGCGCTATATGCCTCCAAGGCCAAACACTGTTATTGATAAGTCGTTGCCAAAATATTTTAAGTACTATGACATACATGTATATATACAGGGAATATTAAATTATAAAAATGTTTTAAATTATAGATTAATTATTTATTAAATGGTAGATGTATCACGGAACTTATCGTTATGTTAATTACTCAATTTTGCCATTCGATCGTTTTACTCTCTGCGCGTTCTCTGTAATTACTAATTTAGTATCAACAATGCTATATATTGATAATCTAACAGATCGATGAATTTGAGGAAAATTTGTAATTAATAATGCAACATTAAGTCGATTTTATTCGATTCATATTTTACTTTATTATTTATTATTATCCTGATAGTGATTATTACATTTATTTTTTTTCCATTAATCAGATTCATCAAACGCACCAGAAACTAACATAAATTTAAATAAAATTTCTTTTCATATTTATTTTACTATTATAGACATTCTAGGATTTAGAATTTTTATATTTATTTTTTGCCATATTAATCTTAAATACCCATATATTTCTGGAGACTAATTTGATTGAATTTGACACCGCAGCGGATTTTATAATATTATATATAGAATTTATTGCACAATTCATATTCAATCTGAATATGTTATTTTCTATTTTTATTAGCTATTCTTCGTTCTATTTTTAATAAACTTGAAGAAGAGTAATCGCCTTATTATCCTTTATTCTTATCTTATACGCCCTTAATCAATATTAATAATCATAACTTATCATTAATACTTTACCCTATTAAACAAATGATAGAAGAGTTCAAATTTCCACAAATACTTTTATTTTATTAACTTGGAACCCAACCCAGTGAATCACTCTTTGTAATAATTAGACAAATTCTATCCTTAATATATTTTATCTATTATTTCTTATTATTATAAAAATTTTAGACAAACTTATATTCAATCTCTAAATATTAATTTTAATTTTGGTTGTATATTTATCTCTCTCTCTCTCTCTAATAATTCTTCAAAAAATATATCTAACTTTAATAATGATAAATAAAATTTTAAAAATTTGATACTTAAAGTTAATGATCTTGATTAATTTTAAATTTTGAAAATACATTAAAGAAGTACAAAAATTTTTTAATAACGAACACTTTTACTATCTTTATTATTTTGACCTTACTTCTCTTATTTACTATATATAAAAATGTAATATAAAAATTATATATTAAATTAATTATTTTACATATACATATATCAGAAAGAAGCCTGAGAGGGGTCCGTTTTTCATAAGACACTTTTTCTAGCTGGTACAGTAACGTCAACTAGATCCATTTAAGAGCCGGTGGAACTACATGGTCAAATTCGCTTTTCGGTGCTGGTAAAACAATCGGTTTGTGCATGTGTGCGCTAGATCCATAATTGTGGATCAAAATTGTGGAGAAAGATTATGGATTTATTAATGTTTTATCAGCTGTGCGTGATGTTTTGCCATTCTAGTATATATTACGGACAGCGATATTAAGTTATTATTGAAGTATTTTTATGTATGTGCGCATGTGACATAAAACTTGTAAAAGTTTCTACTTTCAGATTATAGCTTTTATATGGAATTATTAGAGTTATTAGTAGTGCTTTTTTTCAAAATTTATAAAATTGTTTTATTAATCTGTTTATTGTAATATATAATAATAATATCTCCCCAATTTAAATTTATTTTCAAGAAAATTAAAAAAAAATAACTCAATAATATTATAAAACATTATAATATGTTCTAATGTATATTTTATATTAAAAATGTTACAGAAATATGTATACATATATATTGTGCAACTTATAATGTAAATATGTATAAGTCAAAATGTGTATTAATGCTTTCAGTATCAAATTATTTGCATTGTAAAATATTTGTATAAATTGAATATATATCTCCTCGATGGTATCTCCACCTTAACGAAGGCATTTGCCGGGTGAGGAGGTTTGCGTACTCTAATGAACCTAAGGGCTATGCCGGCGGTAACGTATAGCGTTTTCGAGTGAGCAAGTTTAATTGCTTTGAAACCGATTAATGAATAAAATTCAAATTCTGTCTTGATTTTTGGGATATTCGGATTATTAGACTAATCAATCAATACTTCGAGTAAGTGTTTGATTGATTAATCAGGGCAAAGAATCGTGTACTTTAAAGACAAAATAGCATTAAAAACAGAGAATGTACTTTATATTATTTATATTAATCAGATTCTCTCAAAACCTATTTTTGATTAAATATATATTCATCATAAATTGGGTTTAATTATATTTTTTATATTAATATTTTTAATGAAAGTGAAAAAGACAATAATAGAGAAAAGGGAGTTTTAGTCATTTTTGAAATTAATGTCGTATAAATACATATTTAAATGTCCTGAGAAAAGTATTATTTTCGCATTTCCGGCCTTTTAATTAAAATTCTGGATGGAATTCCATAAGATAGGAGAAACTCTTAACATTTTATACGTTAAAAAAACAATATTGCACAAGATATCGCGATTTTTTGACATTTTATGACATTTTGCGAAAATCTGACAGCTGATAGTATCACCGGCCATCATATGAAAAAATTAATAATGAGTTATATAAATTAGAAGCATGATTTGATAATGTTTAAAATGCTTAATACTTTTCAAAAATAAGAAAAAAGTGAAAACAATTTATTGTAAATATCTTCTACACGTTATATTTCAAAATTAGGAAAAGAATTATTAAGAAAATTTATTTAAGAAAATTTATTTCATTTTACATGCGCATATACATAAAAATATTTCAATTATAATTTATTATCACTGTAGTATGTACTAGAATGATAAAACATCACGTGCAGCTAATAGAACATTAATAAATCCTTAATATTTCTTCGCATTTTTGATCCACAATTATGTATATTTAGCACGGACATGCACCAACCGGCCGTTTTACCGTGGCACCGAAAAATAAATCTGGCCATGTAGTTTCGCCGGCTCTAAAAATGGATCTAGGTGACGCTACTGTACGAATTAAAAAAGGCATTTTTCGAAAAACGGCGCCGTGGCTTTTCTAGGCTTCTCTCTGATATCAATCTGTTCTATTTCGAGTGTATAAAGGGTAATATAGTGTAGCTGTAAAGAGCAGACGTCGTGTTGACAGGTTGACACCGCCATGTTGACTCCGGTACCTCGTGATATTAATCTCGCGGAATCAGAATCGTTTTCTGGAAAATGATTGAACAAATGGAAACTGACATAACTTCGAGCGCGAATACAGCCGATTTGGAATTTGCAGCTCCGGAGAAACAGAAGGCCCGTGCATTTCTGCGCGAACGCTTCTTACGCGTTATAACCGGCATTGTTGGTAAGATAATTCACGAACATGCTCTTTATTTTAATGAAATTTAAAACATTCGAGTCGATTTCCATAATATTTTCTAATACGCCGAAAATGTAAACGATATATTGGAGTATGAAACTTTAACATGTTTTTTCTTGAAATTATTTGAATATGGCGCCATATCAAGGCAAAGTCCATTCGTTTAGTGCAATGTATATTTCACGATAAGAAATTAAAATTATTATTAATCATATCATAATCAGAAGATATCTGCCGGAAAAGTGCACGTAAGAATATTTAATTATGCACTGATATTTGAATTCAATTTCGATATTTGATATCAATTTAAGATTAATGCGTGATTTATTGATCTTTTATAGATTATAACAGTATTTTAAATTTTATTAAAGAAAAAGAATATCTAATATATTATTAGCCTGTCGGTAGAAACGATTTTTTAGATTACGGTGCAGCATCTTGATTTGATGTTCAAATATTATAGGTAAACAAACGGAATTTTATTTACACGAAAATACTCGTGTGCTGGGTGAATTCAGGGGTTGCGATGTGGAATGTTCTGAGATTTTCGCGAGAAATTTGAAAACACCAATGGGCACGATTCCGGAAGCTATTCTGCGAAACGGTGACATTATCTATTTGGATATAGGTGACATTAATATTGATTAATAAGAAAGGTATGTACAAAGAGCAGATAAAGGTTACAATAATATCATTGTGAAATATATTGCTGTGTAAGAAAACTTTATGTATTTTATTGTTAAGTGCGTTTTTACAATCATTTGCCAAATAATTGTCTTACATATTAATGGAGATTAAAAATTTTTCAATATCTAAGAGCGACGCATATTTAACATTGTATTTATTTCTGAAATTATGCGTCTTAGGTGATCAATTATTTCTTTAATGTGCCTATTTTTTAATACCACTTGCTGTAACAAAACAGATTTTAATTTTCATTAGGATTTAATAGAACAATGATGTATAATATACAATATATACAATAGTTTTTTATATATCGATATTTTTCTCACCTCTATGACTTCCTTGCTCTCTTCGCAAATAAGTCTGTAAGCTTCCGAAGTCTTCTTCTCTTCAGATTTCATATCCCATTCCTCTTTCAATGGAATTAAACTTTCTATATGCGTATATTCCATGCCTTGCAGTTGGCAATTTTCGTTACATTTTTCATATATTAATCTCAAACGTTTAAACATCATTTTTATTATTCTCAACTGCTCGAAAATCTTAATCTTTTTCTCGTTTGCCATGTTTGCCCCTTGTGCTGTACCTGCAATAAAAAAAAATAATCCATTTACAAAAAGATATTTATTATGACATTTTAACTATCTAATTAAGAAGATAATTAGGAGACGTTGCTACTGTGTTATAGAAATTATACCATTAGGTGGTTGAAGCATTTTAAGAAATTGGAAGAGTTCTGAAGTACGGCTGACGATTTCTTGCACTGTTTCTTGTCCACATCTACATAAGCTGGCAGTGTTAACTTCCTTAGTTTGCTGTTGTTGCAATGGTGGCTGAGTAGGTGGGACAGGAGTTTGCGGTGTTGTAGCTTGATTGCTAGTTTGGTTATTCTGTTGAGCCATAGCAGCCTGTTGTTGTTGCTGCAGTTGCAATTGTTGCTGCTGCATCTGTTGCATTTGTTGTTGCATCGCGATGGATTGTTGTTGTTGTTGCTGCTGTGCCAAAACTTGTTGAGAGTTTTGCATTCCCATGGCATTAGATCCAACATTACCAACACCTACTCCAACTCCTACTCCCATACCAAATTGCTGAGAGTTTACCATATCTAAAATAAAAGTTGTTGATTGATTCACAGATATTTCTAGTTTCTTTTAATTAAAAAATTTTTTATTTTTAAATTCTGAACTTGCCCTCTGAATCTTTTGAATCATCGCTCATTGTAATATCAATCGTAGAATCACTCATTGTAATATCAAACTGTATATTTATCTTAACAATTTTGGGTCGTCTAGGGAATTTAGCTTACTTAAAGATGTTAGTAATGCAAAAATAGATTGCAAAAATTTATGGAATCCTTTAGTTTTTGCAATGATAAAAACTCATAACTTTGATTATTAAACACTTTTTAATTTTTAATGTAAAATTATTCCACCGCTACCAATACTTTTAAATTAGATAATTATAGTTATCACGAATTGCTTATTATTCAATGTGACTGCTAATATTCGACTGAAGAGTTTAGTTTGCTGTATACTTAGGGCTATTAAATTTTTTTGCAGAGAAAAACATTACAAAACATTATTGTTGTATATAGGACAAGGTTAAGTATTAATACACAGGCATAAGTAATGAAAACAAATACAAAGATTATATTTAGAAATCTTTCAATACTTACTTCCTTGCTGTTGTCCTATTAAACCAGATACCATTTGTCCACCACCAAATTGTGTACGCATAGCTGATTGCTGTACATTGGGAAACCCAGATAGGAAAGGATGTTGTTGCCCAGCCATGTCGATTTTATTTTAAAATAGTAATCTCGTCGAATTAATATATATCCACTAAAACAGAAACGATCTGTTGTATATAGATTATAGGTTAATTTTGAGGTTATATATCACCCTGTATGCTTCTAACATAGTTTTTACTTGCAAAAGACATTTCTTTTTTGCTAAGAAAAATTAATTTCTCACAATTCTAAGCACACAAATTATATTTTGCATGAAAAAGATAACTTTTTTCATTATCTAAATAATTATCAAGGTATGTAATTTTATCGTATCGTTGAAATTATAATATTACCTGATTAAATTTGTTGTTACAACAATATAAGCGATGTCACATTTATTTACACAAATAAGTCACATAAAAATCTATTCTTTGGTATGCGTGGTCAAGCCACGAAACAAACATGTGTTTTCTCGCGTGTCACGCGTAGAAATTGTCAAGTGCATCGTTCAGCGCATTTGCACAGCGCAAGTAATGCAATTATTCATATCATTGAACTTTTTGCATTTGTATACTTTTCCTTTCTTTTTTTATTATGTATTATATTAGGAACATACGATGGGGTATATAACACATATTTATATATAAATAATATTTCATCGACATGATATATCGTATAAAACTACCTGCTACTGGTAATGTTGCATTTGTCATCGAGTATATATCTTTATTAAATTTTAATTTAAAAATGTTATGTTTTTTTATATTTAATAAAAAAAAAGTTTCTCTCAAATTCAATATTATCATTAGCGGAATACTTTCCATTTGATTGATATATATATCGCGAAGTTATTGCATCAGATAAGATTATTATTTATATATTCATATTAAGTACAGAAATAGAATTAAAATTAAATTTTGCAAATTACTAAATAGACTTACAGAAATTTAATTTTCTCTGTACGTATGTATATATATTTAATTAATATAAAATATATATTAATATTTGTTTACTAAACTATTTATAATACTACTTCTTCAATTTTTTATTTTCATAAGATTACCAAATAATTTTTATCTAATTTTCTCTTCCTAATAACAGGATAAGTTGCGGTATAATCAGGAAATGTATTTTTTTGAATTTAATGTTTATATTATTTGGTCTTGATATATAGAATTTTTAAAATCGATTTCTTGGATATACATTCCCTGTTGTTTAGTGAAGAAACATAAGATCAAATTTCATGGGTACGGAAATAACGTCCGAAGTGGAGATAAGGTCAGTGCACAGGGAACTAAGGCACGAAACATAACAGTCCAATTTGTCATTTCCCGACACGTCTCCACACACGCCTTCATGCGAGTTTTACTTTTTTCATCGCAGTCAGTGTCTCCTGCGACGCAATCGCAACCGCAAACGAGTGCTTGACTGCGTACCGGTTTCTCTAACAAAGACTAATTTACACGAGTATCGCGCTCGAAGAAAATCCCGTTTGGCTTTGAACAACAATGCCGATACGTTTGCTAATGATTTTCTTTGTACTGGCGGTTTTTATTCTAAAAGATAGCGATGGATTACCGGCGAATTATACAGAAAACGGACAGAAGACAGATGATGATAGCGCGGATAATATTAATTATCCAAACGAAGGCTCTACTCCATTATCTGATGCCAGTGATTCTGGAGTATCAACCGACTCTCAAAGAATTCCAACTTGTTTGAATCATCAGGAGACGATGGGTCATCGGCGTAATGAAAATGAAGAAATGTCCGCTGAGAAGAATTATCAGAACTTAATCACTGCTTTGTCAAAGATCGCTAAAATCAAATCTTCTAAGGAAGATCCTGTTGTCACTGGAGGATGTTCAATGGAAAATATTTACAATGGCGCGCAAAAAAAATTCACGTATTTGCAAAACGGAGTTTTTGCAAAAAATACTGGAAGACCGATATCTCTCGATACGAAATTATCTTCGAAACTAGTTTCCGAGGACATTTTCAACAATGCACCGAACGATGGAATTCAGCAAAGAAATTTTCACTGTCGTGCCATACAAGACGTTTACATACCGGAGATAAAAGAGAAGATTCCTTCGTATGCGTGCACATTCGGAGACAATACGTTTATTCTTTCGAGTAAGAGATTTTTTCAAGATCGTAGGAGTAGCTTGCACATTAACATCGACAATGATACACTTCGTAAATTAAACAGCTCTATCATAACTCCCACAAATAGCCAGTTCCATATTATTCCGGCTGTTTTAGTTCTAAAACCCTGGCACGAAAACTATGATATACGTAATCCAAAAAACTTTCAAGATCTAGTATAGACAATAAGAACATTGGGCGAGTGATTGTAATCTCTTTGTCTTATAATATATCAGTGTAATTATTAATAACAAAATTAATAAAGTAATCAAGAATAAATCAATTAATGAAATAGGCAAGCTATAAGATATATAAAATATTTAAAAACAAAATTGTCATCGATCGTTACAATTGAATAAAAATTTTGTACCATCGAATAAAATTTATTTTGCGTCATCTTTCCACGACGACATTTATATTAATTTTTTATATTATACTTACGATATTATTTACATATTCTTGTGTGCATACAATTTGATTATATATTTTATAAATAACTCTGATGCAAAAAGATGATGTATATGAATTTTTATTCACTATTGTGAATAACTGCAATAACGATTTTATTAGAAACATTTCTAAAATAACTTTACACACGACGGTTGTATAACTAACATAATTTATAATACAATACGTAAAAAAACTTTACAAGCTCAAAAGCGATTGGAGCCATCAAAAAAATTGTAATATTCATTATGCGATGAAATATTCTTTACGACAGCATAAACAAGTCATCTCTTCATACATAATCTAAACTAAAATCATAAAAATGCTTTTAAGTATGATTTCTACTCATGACTTGCTTTGCGATGTACATGATCAATCATACTTTTCTTTGACTATAAATTTCTTTAACGAATATAGATTCTTTATGATAAATTTTATGGGAAGTTTAATTATAGTGTGATTATATCGAAAATTAAATTCTATAATTTAATTTCAATTTAATACTAAAAATTAAGACATTGCGACAAGTGTTTCTCCTTATGAACTTATCGAGAGAAATTTGAATTGTTTAAAGAATCTGGGAAAAGAACGCGGATGGTCTTGTATATCTGGTATTATTATAACAAATATATATATAAATTATGAATCCGTCGCGATTTCATCGGTTGGTTTTGTAGAGTCTTTCGTTTTATCTTCACTAGTTTTACTTTCGTTTGGCAAATCGATAGGTGAAACTTTATCTACATTCGACAAAATTGTGGCTGGACGTTGCTCCTTAATAGGTGGTTCTTTTTTACCAACTCTAGATTCAGCAATATTATCGTCCAAAGATTTCGAAAGCTCTGTGACTTGAGGAGTTTTTGGCAGATCTGTTTCCTTAATAAGCAGTTTCTCTTTTTCAGCTTCCGATGTTGTATCTTTACCGGTTTCGCTTTTATCTGGCAAATTGATAGGCGAAACTTTATCTACATTCGCCAAGACCGTGGCTGGACGTTGCTCCTTAATGGGCGGTTCTTTTTTATCATTTTCGGATACATCATTGTCGTGATGATCCGAGGGTTTCGAAAGATCTGTGACTTCAACAATTTCCGATAGATCTGTCAAAGATTCGCTGAGCATATCCTGCACTTTTATCGGTGCGACAAAATTGTGTGTCCTATCAGATGATACTTCGGAATATTTAGGATTTGGAACGTAGAATTCATTCGGTTTGGTCTCTTCTTTTTCAACTTCGATCGCTAATTTTTCCAGCTCTTCTTTTTCCTCATCAGAGAGTGGGCTGACCTAAAAACAAATGTTTGACGTAAACTTTATTTATTTCATATAAAAATAATAACGTATATAATTTTTTGATAGCGTTTTGTCTATATTTTTATATATCAATTATTGTTTTAAATTAGAAAAAATAGATACAATGTAATCTAGAAGAAATGTTGTGAATATTAAATGCAGAAAGAGAAAAAAGTCTGCCTTTTTCGTATATTGATAAAAACAAAATGTTAAACTTTTGTTATCCTATAAATTTAATTAAATGTGCATACAAAATTTATAAGATTTGTTAAATGATAACAAGTAATGCAGCATATATATATTTTAAACTGGTTTTACATTTTTTATGATTTATCTGATTTTATTTGAAGTTTTGAGATAGAGACAGTTTTTTGTGATTAAATGAAGATCAATCTATTCAAGAGTTAGTATTTTACAATGTAACATCGAAAAGAAGTTGGAACTGTTTGTTCGTTTGCACATTATAAATAGGCTTGTAAAATTGAATCATGCATAGGTAAAATCTTCGAATACGTCGCTAGCTATCGATAAAGAGACAAACGACGTTAGGTGACTCACAAAGATTTCTCTTTTAGATTATATACGGACGTCAAAAGAGATAAATGTGCAGAAATCAAAAATGCAATATATTCAAATTAGCTATTTCTTTTCTTGGAATTAACATGCTGTTTGTCGCGGATACAATTTACATGAAGTAATCTTTATTTTTAATTATAAAAGTGATGTGATGAATGTTTACTGAATCATCGATGAGATTTTATCCGCACATTGTAACAAACATTATTCGCATATTTTATCAAAACTTTTCGAAAATAATAAAAATCATCTATGCATCTCTTCCCCCAAAATTTTCTTCAAATACAATTGAAAATACATTTTGGCCCAATTATAATAATTATCGGATATTTTCATAAACGTACTTTAAAAGCAGGCGGTTTCCAACTCTTCATCCTGTTTCTCCCTCGATAACGTCTACGTGGTCTGCTCTCATTATCATCAGGTAATTCATAGATAGTTAAAAGTTTTGGTTTGTTAGGGTTCCCCGGTTCATCGTCGTTAGCAGCGGCAAATGAAAGACTCTTCGCTTCTCTAACATGTAGTGGGTAAGCATGCTTCGTTTCTGAATCTTCCAAAAACTTATTTATATCTTCATCTTTGAGACTGTCAGACTCGTGAGCGAATGTGTGATCTATCTTCTGCAAACTCTATAGCGTATGATATAAAATTAACATCCTTGTAAACTGTTTCTTAATTTACGTGGTATTTATATTCTAAATAAATCGACAATTTTCTCTTATTGCTATGAGCAACAGCTATCCGTACTTTCCGTATTTAAACGCATAATTATTAGATTATTAATACCTTAGCAGAATTTGACGTTTCTCCAAAAGCCTCAGCCAAATCGGAATTTATTTCGTCCAACGGTTCATCTCCATATCTTATATAAACAGGGACGTAACCCGGAATATTGGGTAAATATTGAAGGGGACTCGAATCTAGAAGAAATATTGAATACTGCTAGTCGAGAATAAACGATGAGAAAAACGGCGTGTATGCTTGATACGGATGGTCGCGCTAGAAATACGCACTTGGCTAGGCGAGCTTATTAGCTATGATAGCAATGCGGATATTTAATCGTATGCATAGAGATTAACTAGACCAAGTGTTCAATTAGGTCCCATTTGCATAGATCACAAGTGATAACTGCTAATTTAACTGAATCACTTTTTTACTGCTTTTAAAAAAATTACTTCTGTTTTATTTCGTTTTAAAAGAAGAGAGAATAAATCATGTACATAAATTTATTTTTATAATCGTCAATCTGCGCGTTCTCTCTTCGTATCATTATAATATGAAATAACTCGAGTTTGATCCATAAAAACTTATTCTTTTTTATATATTCTCAAAAATTTATTTTTACACAATTTCTAACACATGATTACAAATTCTAATAACTATATATATCTTGGAAATTATCCACTTCTTCGATTATAAATTCTTTGATGAAATAGACGTTGAGGAAAACTCAACGAAAATTTGATTTAACACTATTTTCTTTTTTTTCTAACATTTATTTTTAGATTTAAAAATCTTGATAACTAAATTCGAATTTACTTTCGGTTAAAATAAATTTCACACTTGAAGTTAATAAAAAATAAGATTTGCTTGCTGGAAGTTTAATCCAAAGCTTGATTCAAATTCTTCAATTTTCACTTGTACAGTTACAGATACTTCGTTTTTTTTTTTTTTTTGAACATTTTTCTTAATTTGGCTTGTAGTATCTATAAATGAAAAAGTCTACGTGAATTTCGCGGGACGTTCTATGTATAATTTATTGTGCCCTTGAAATTTATTATTTGCGATGTCTTTTAGCGGCGAAAATTTTTAAAGCAGCACATCCAGAATAATCCCGAATTACATATAATCACTGCACAACATCACTGATCCTCTACATTATCGTGTCACACATCGATGCTCGTCCGGGCGGGAATTTTGAACGTCGTTCTTTTCTTTTACTCACAGGCATAATCAATGAGAGGTACCAGGAATATCAGAAGGGAGATGGCCCTGGTACCACACAGCGTCCCGCCAACCTGCATCTTTGAACGGTACTGGGCCCCCGGAACATGGGGCTCTCTCCTTTATATGTACGGTCCCCTACCCTCTGGCTGATACCGCGGAGAGGCCCCTCGGGGTTAGCAGCGGATTCAGGAACGCTGTTCCGTTAATATCGGGACAAAAAACCGAGCTCTTCTTTACTTTCGGCAATCGAGCCGAACGAGAGCAATTTGTTACGATTCCTGCCTTTTATAATGATGATAGGCTTTGCGCGATCGATCGTCGCGTTTTACATGCGCCGTATAAAGTTATCTCAAACATTATACGCGCGAACGTATTTCCCTATCTTCTTTTTTTAGGGCAGATGTTCCGTTCTTGCCATATTTTGATACTTTAGATATTGGCCTGTTAATAAAGTGACGTTTTAAAGTCTGGCAGCGTAGACGGACAATTTTTCGTGCATCATAATTTTCTACATAGATATAATGATATAAATAGTGGAATGTAATTGCTTACATATACTGCTTAAGTACGCAACTTGTAAGTTGCTCGTGGTTTAATATCTTGCATTGTTTCTTTTTATTTGGCATTGTGCAATCGATTTAAGAACGCATTTAAAAAATTGAAGGTCATGATCGATGAATATATAATAAGATCCGATCAATCATTGATAGTTATCTACACGATGAACTCGTCGGTACAAGTATTTTTTGCGTGCATTCCATGCTTATATATTCTGCATGTTTAATTAAAATATATATATAT